TGTTTTTCACCTTAGTGTCTATTTTGTCAGAAATTAATATTGCCACTCCTGCTCTTTTTTGGTTTCCATTGGCTTGGTATATTTTTTTCCATCCCTTAACTCTTTATTTGTCTTTATCTTTGTGTCTAAGGTGAGGTGTGTCTCTTGTAGGCAGCATATTGATGGGTTTTCTTTTCTTATCCAGTCTGCCACTCTCTTTCTCTTGATAGGTGCATTTAATCCATTCCCATTGAGTGTAATTAGTGATAGGTATGAACAGATTGCTGTCATTCTTTTGTGTGTGTGTGTGTGTGTGTGTGTGTTTTGTCATTTTGTTAGTGTTTCTTTGGTCCACATACTTTTCTGTGCTGAGTTCAGTTTGCTGGCTGATGCTTTCTCCCTTTTCTTCTTTATAGTTGGTTTTGTGCTTATTAAACCCATGTTTTTCTTTGTTCAGGATTTGCTTAGGGGGATTGTTACTTTTCTCTGTGGTTACCTTGGAGTATATTCTTGTCTCTACATTTTTTAGAACAGTGCGTACTGTGAAGACATTGTCCTGTTTTCCTCTCCATTTAGAAGTTTGTACCTAGAAGTTTTATTCCCTCTGACAGGTTAGTTGCTGTTGTTGTATACTGATTGACTTCCTTGGATTTTATAGTACAATATTTTGTGGTTTTATTTTGAGTTTCTATTTCTGATTTGGTTTTAGTGTCGATGTCACATATTCTGATTTTGCTGATCTGTGTTGTGGGTTCTCTATTGGAAGGACTTCCTTAAGCATTTCTTGTAGGACTGGTCTGGTTTTTACAAAATCCCTTAATTTCTGTTTGTCTGAGAATGCCTTGATTTCACCCTCACATTTGATGGATAATTTGGCTGGATATAGGATTCTTGGTTGAAAGTTCTTTTCCTTCAGTGTTTTATATATCCAGTCCCATTGCCTTCTTGTCTGCATGGTTTCTGCTGAGTAAGTGGAGCTCAGCCTAACTGTTTGATTATTATAAGTAATATTTCTTTTGTCCCGGCAGCTCTCAACATTTTTTCTTTGTCTTTGGTTTTAGAGAGTTTGATTATAATATGCCTTGGTGTTTTTCTCTTGGGATCTATCTTGTGTGGGGTTCTATAACTTCTCGGACAAATATCTTTTCTTCTTTCATGATATGGGAGAAGTTTTCTGTTAGCAGGTCTTCCACAATTTTGTCGGATTTTTTTTTTTTTTTTTTCACCTCTTCTTGCTCTGGAATTCCAATGAGTCTGATGTGGTTTCTTCTCATGTCATCCCATATAATTCTTAGGTTCTCTTCATTTCTCTTAAATCTTTGTTCTGATTTTTCTTCATACAGGCTGGTGTCCAGGGATTTGTCTTCTAGTTGGGATATTCTAGTTCTTCAGCTAGTTGTAACCTACTCTTTTGTGCTTCTACTGTGTTGTGTAATTCTGTAATTTTGGTATTCATCTTCTGTCTTTCTGTTTTTGTATGAGTTCTGATTGTGCATTAATCTTATTATTTTGTTTTTGAATGATTTTCCTGAGTCTTCCAGGGAACTGTCTGTGTTCTCCTTGTTTCTGTTAACTATACTGTGCCAGTTGTCCTGGATATCCCCCAAGTTGATGGTCCTGAAACCCAGGCCCCGTGGGTCCTTCCCTCAAGGTGATCGATTATGGCTAAGAAATTTTCATAACCTTTCCCCCAGTATACTCTATTATAATCATGGATGCATTTGCAGCAAATATAAATACATATGTAGAAATAACCTCTGCCAAGAGTGTAGTCCCATTTGTATGCTGAGCAAATATCCAAGAAGGTGTGCTATATAAAGAAGAGCATGGCATCAGGATTGGAGGAACTCTCATTAACAACCTGCTCTGGTGGCGTAGTGCCTAACGCATTTGACTGCTAACTAGAAGGCTGGTGGTTCAAACCCACCAGCCACTCCTCAGAAGGAAGACTGGGCAATCTACATCCATAGAGATACTGCCTCAGAAACCTGAGGAGGGGAGACTATGAGTCAGAATCAACTTGACGGCAGTGAGGGTTTTTTTTTTTTTTTTGGTATGTGCAGATGACACAGCATTGCTTGCTGAAAGTGAAGATGACTTGAAGCACTTACTGATGAAGATCTGCAGTATAGACTACACCTCTACATAAAGAAAACAAAAATCCTTATAACTGGACCAATAAGCATCATCATGACAAAGGGAAAAAAGATTGAAGTTGTCAAAGATTTTATATACTTGGTTCCACCATAAACACCAATGGAAGCAGCAGTCAAGAAATCAGACGACATATTGCATTGGGCACGTCTGCTGCCAAAGACCTCTTTGAAGTGCTAAAGAGCAAAGATGTCTCTTTGAAGACTAAGGTGCACCTGACCCAAGCCGTGGTATTTTCAATCACCTCATTTTCAGTCACCTCTCATGCATGTGAGAGCTGGACAGTGACTAAGGAAGACTGAGCAAGAAGTGATGCTTTGGAGTTGTGGTGCTGGCGAAGAAACTGAAAGTGCCACGGACTGCTAGAAGAACTAACAGATTTGTCTTGGATGAAGTGCAGTCAGAATGCTCCTTAGAAGCAAGAATGGCCAGAATTCGTCTCACCTACTTTGGTCATGTTGTCAGAAGGGAGTATTCCCTGGAGAAATATGTCATGCTTCGTAAGGTAGAGGGTTAGCAAAAAATGGAAATATTCTCAACAAGATGGATTGACACGGTGGCTTCGACAACGGGTTCAGGTACAGCAAGGATTGTGAGGCTGGCACAGGACAGGGCCATATTTCGTTCAGTGGTACATGGGGTCACGCCAACTTAATGGCCCCTAACAACAACAACAACAGATTCATACTTTGTACCTTCCACATTCCAGCTGTTAATGGATGTTTGCAAATGGTTCTTCTCATTTTGATTGTGGCACAATGAACCAGTGAAGGTCCAGAAGGCTTTACTCGATCCACGACATTAAGGTCATCTCTGCCTTGAGGAAGCAGCTCTTCTCCAGCTGTATTTTGAGTGCCTTCCAACCTGAGGGGTTCATCTTCCAACACTAAACCGGACAATGTTCTACTGCTATTCATAAGGTTTTCACTGGCCATTTTTAAGTAGATAGCCCCTCCTTCTTTGTAGTTTATCTTACTTTGGAAACTCTGCTGAAACCGGTCTACCTTGGGTGACTCTCCTGGTATTTTACAGGTGCCATCGTTTCCAGCTTCACAGTACACAGGCAAGCCAACATAATGGCAAAAGCTGGCAGACGAGTGGTAGGTGTCGGTCCGGCTGTTCCTTCATTTTCGTTGCTGGAAACGCTGCAGAAGAAATCAGTTTGGAGTGTCTTTTTGACGCTAGTAGTGTTAAATTGGCCAGGAAAAAAATTTTTTTGCTCTGAAAAAAATTTTTTTGCTCTATGCATAGACGATATAAATCTATCATTCTTCAAACTGCTGTATCCCTTTGTACTGGGTGTTTTAGAAGAGGTTGTTGTTATTGCTATGTGCCATCAAGTCAGACCCGACTCATAGCGACCCCTCCTTGCTTTTCCGCAAGATAGAACTACAGAAGTAGATTGCCCACTACTCCTTCCCAGGAGTGACTGATGGCTTTGAACCACCAGCCTTCTGGTTACCAGTCGACTGTCTTAGGCACTACGCTACCAGGGCTCCTGGAAGAGGTTGGAGTCGAGCAATTATAACTAGTTTGTGGCCATTCGCTTGCACATGCGTCGCTTTGGGCCAGCAGGGGGCGGATGAGCTCCAAGGCATCCGCCCTGTTGGGTTGACCGGCAGCTGGGGATGCGGGCGAGGATGCCGGCGAGGGTGAGGTAATAGGAGCAGGAGCGAGAGGGCGAGGGGGTGTGCGTGCGTGTAGGAGAGAGCGTGCGCGCCCGCCGGGGCTCTGCGTGGCTAGGAGCTCTCGCTTGTGGGCGTTGATCGCGCTGCTGCATTAAAAAAGAAAGAAAGACAATCCCATTTCTGGAAGGGAAATGTAAACTTGCAGCTGGCTGGCAGCGCAGTCCCCGGGCCCGAATCATGGCAGGTGGTTTCGCAGCAGCAGGGGGCTGGGGAACCCCGAGGAGCGCTGGCTGGCTTTAACGCCCCGCCGGGGAGGGCCTCTACAGCCAGGGCGCAGCTGAGCGGAGCCACAGGGAGGGGGAGCTCTCGCCCAGGCGGCGACGGCC